AGAGAGAGAGAGAGAGAGAGAGAGAATGCACTGCAGGATGCTGACAGCCCTGTCCCTCCTTCTTTCCCAGTGGGAGTGTCTGAGCCTCCTCTCCTGGCTTCCACGGGCCCCATCACTCAGTTCCGAAGGCAGTCCTGTGTGCCTCCAGAAGGAGCGGGAAGCTGTGGTTCTAGAACCTTCAGGTCAGTCTCAGACAGCTCTCCTGGCACTGTCTAGCTGTGCCTCCCAGGGACCCAATACCCAGGGTCAGCGATGTGTCTCTGGACATCACCTATCAACAGCTTGATAAACACTAATGAGTGAACTGAGAACTGTCCCTGTTCTAACAGGGCTCACTGTCCAGTGAGGGGACCAGATGCCATTATCAATGAATGGAAATAGGACAATGAGGAGAGCACTGGTTTCCAGATTGAGGTCAGGGCTAAAGGAAGATAGTTTAAAACAAACAAACACACAAAAAACCCAAAGAAATTTTCGGGGCAGTAAAACTGTTCTACACAGTACTATAATGGTGGATGCATGTCATTGTGCATTTGTCCAAACCCATAGAACGTACAACAGAAAGAGTGGACCCTAAGGTGAACTATGGACTTTGGGTGACAATGATGTGTCAGTGTAGGTTCCTCGGTTGTAACCAATGTGTCCCCCTGGCGAAGGATGTTAGCAGTGGGGGAGGCTGTGTATGTGGGGGGGCAGGAGGCGTACGGGAACTCTCGGTACGTTCCACTCAACCTTGCTGTGAACCTAAAACTTCTCTAAAATATAGTCTATTAATAAGCTCCCCCAAGGTGTTCAGTGGCTGGAGGGAGATGAGAAGCATTATTTAGGATGGGCAGGGAGGAAGTTGCTGCTCACCCCCAAAAATCCTCCCCCAAATGTTTGGGGGACGAGGCCTGATGGGGGCTACTGGTGTCTAAGTGAAGGCCTCCCCTCCAGCCATTCGCTCTGAAAGTTCAGGTCTGACCAAACCTGGCACAGACCCGACACCAATAACAGCTCCATGAAGGGACGTTCCTCCCTACCTGGGCTGTCTCTTAGAAAGACATCGATTGTTGGGTTCTGTGGAACATCTTCCATTGGGGTGAGGGGATGAGATAAGGAAGGCGCTCCACCCCTATTATTCCAGAAGCCACAGAAATGCAGGAAGAACAGGGCTTATGTTTTTCTGATTCCTCTACTCAACCAGGCCTCCAGCAAATCGCCACCAAGTGTCCCAGCCTTGGCCCTCCTGTCCCCCTACACCCTCAGGGATCAGGGCATTCTGGCCCAGCACTCACAGGAGACATTGAGCTGGATGGTTCTTTCTGTGGTCACTCCAGCTTCAGGGCCTCACCTGATGGGTGACCTTGGTGCTGTGGTCCTGGGGCCTTGTGGTAAGAGTGAGCACTGAGGAACAGATGGCCCTGGGGCCCAGAAAAGTGAGGGCAGCTGATATACAGGAGAAAACTGGGGGGCTGTCCCCTCCTCACAGACCCAGGGTACAGAGCAAGTCAGGTTCTTGGGGTGGACTCCACCCAAAGAAGTTGGACAAAGATGTCATGGGTGTGCGTCAAGGCTGGTGAGGAGGGGTGGAAATATGCAGGATCAGGAAGGAGGGTCCAAGGCTCAGCCCTGAGAGAAACTCAGACTCTGGTCTAGCTCCT